TGTGCTTGTAATCAGCACATCATACGTTTATTAAGCACTGACTAAAACACCGTACATATGCTCAGTGGAGCCCATGGCATTGACCTATGCCGGCAGCTCCATTATCTTTGCACTTGTCTGTGAAGGAACGGGGGCCTCTCTTGTCCCTGCATTGCCCTTTCTATCAATATCCTTGATTCTGTGCCCTGAATGTGTCTCCGTTTGTAGCATCCCTGATATTTTTCCCTTTCTTATCTCTGTCTTATAATGACTCCTCTCCTATCTTGGGCAGGACTGGAGGAGCACCAGCCTTCCACTCTTCTCTCCTCTGTGGGACCAAACTTAGCAAGTGAGATCCATTTCTTTTACCCTGACCCCCAACCCCAACCAATGCTCGCCACGCCATCCTCTCTCTGCTGAGTTGTCAAGGAGACCTCAGGCTTAGCAGGAGACCCGGGTCTGCCTCTTCTCAGTTGTGTACAAGGGATCATGGGGTAATACCAGTGTGCACCTCTCAGGGACATGGATCCGGTCACATGAACTGATGGCCAAAGTGCACGGCTCAGTGCCCGGCCCACATTAGATATTTATCAGTGAGGACTTGTAAGGTCAGTTCTTAATATTTAGAAGCTAAATCAAGAGGTCAAGGTAGCATTTTTAGCACCGGGGCAATATATCTGTATAAGAATAAATGAGATGTTGTTGTAAATTTTGTAGTGTTTTATAGTTTAAAGTCCCATTTGGGGAAGTTTTATAGGAGAAGAAGGAAAACCTTCTGAAGTTCATCTCTGCTAATAAATTAGTAACACTGCAGAGTTGCTACAATATATAGAAACCTCACACATCTTTATGTCAACTCGAGTTACAAGAGTAGGCTGATGGATGTGTGGCTACTGTCTTGACCACTCATCACCCAAATGCATAAGAAATAAACCTCCTGTTACATCACCTTTGAAAAAGTACTCAACCATGTCAGGACGTTTAGCAGCCAGGCCTCAGTGACAGAAGGCACTACAGAGAATCACCAGGCTTCACAAATGCATAGACCTGGCTTACTGACGATTTCAAATGTATTTTGAAAGCTTTTCAAAATATCTCCTATTCCAATTAACAGGGACGAAAGATCATTTTGGATGAATGAGAATCTCTGCTCTTAAGAAAATGATGTGCTGTTTTGGAGAAAACAGACACATTCATTAAAAATGATTATTCACAAACTGGGAGCACCAGAAGGGCCTAAGTATAGAAGTTTTCAATCTCTTTTATTTTTACTTTTTTTGTAAATAGCATAAAACGGTTATTACATAAAACCTTATGGAATTCTATGCAGAAGCAAATAAGGTTTTCGTGTTTCCTAAGACTCCGATCTATGTTTTGTTCTTGAATTTCCTCTTGCTGATTTCAAGCCTTTGAGAGCTGGGAGCAGAGGTCGGGGGAGAGGGGAAGAAAGCAGAACAGCTGATTCCTGAAAGCCACTAGGTGGAGGGAGGTCTGCAGGGTCTGAAGGTCTGTGCCGCGGTATGTGGGGCTTGGGAGGGGGGTGCTTGCTGTCTCTCTGTTGGACACCAGGGCTCCAGGGCTCTGAGCTGAGTGCCCCTGGGTGAGGTGGGGCCAGACAAGGAGAATTGAAAAATACACTTAATAGCCAGTATCCCGGAGCACTGACTGTGTGCAAGCGGCAGTGCCAGACACTTCATAGACATCCTTTACCCTCATACCAACCCTCACACAAGGCACTGTTTTCAGTCCCATTCAAGGAAGGAGAAAACTGAGACTCCGAGAGATGAACTCTGTGCCAGGGTCCAGAGCTCGCAGGAGAGGCCACACTCAAGTGGGAGGGATGGATGACAAGCGCCCCCCTCCCCACTGACTGGGAGGAAATCTACAAGTCCTGCTGTGTGACTCTCGGGAGGGACAGGGCTCCAGCAATGCCTGGGAGAATTTCTTGCCCCCACAGCCAAATAGGGCCTCGAGTCAGATTTAATTAGATTTAATTTTTTTTAAACAAAATGTGACCTTCGCACCTCAGAATTTATGGTGTAAGATGATTCTCACATAGTAATCAACAGGCAAAGCTACTCTGAGTGGAACAGAGACCCATTTTGGTGCTACCTAGGTTTTCTACATTATATTCATCTGATCATTTAAAAAATATGTATTTAAATGCTTCTTTTGTGCTTTTTGACAGAGCTGGGAAGAGACCCTGGCCCCCGGGTTCCCAGTAAAGTATCTCCCCTGGAACCTGGACTTTCATCACCTAATGTTATGTTTTGTTGCCAGTCCCAGACCACAAAGAATCCACACGTGTCTAATCCCAGATCCACAAAATTCTGGTTGATTCCTCAGCTTTCTCTACCTTAACCCTGCCCAAGGGATACTTCTCGTTATTCTGCTTGTAAAGCCACGTTATTGTGGACCATGTTCTCTTTTGTACTAGGATAACGTTGAAATTACTGCTTGCCCAACTTTTCCTCAGAAGTACCCCCAACAGCAAGGAGAGTGACGGTACCCAGGGGAACTCCATTCCAGCCCAACATGTCTTTAAAGTGCAACAATATATCTTAAAACCTCAGGCCATGTCTGCTAAGACTTACTGAATCCTTGCCAGTGCCAGGGCTGTTTCAAGTGCATTACATTTGTTCCTCTGTGACATCTCCACAGCAGCCTTAAGATGCAGGTACTAATATCTTGTCCTTATTTTGCAAGTGAAGAGATGCAGCACAGAGAGGGTAAGTAACTAGGACTAAGTCACACAGCTGCAAGGACAGACTCTGCATTCAAACATGGGCAGCCAGCTTAGGGCCCAGGCTGTTAACTTCAGTGGTTTAGAATTTTCACATGATACCTGGGATGGGGTTAGTCTAAAACAGTGGCTTGCTGTAGGGGCAATTTTACCTGCCCCATCTCTGCCAAGACAGTAAACAATGTCTAGAGACATCTGTGGTTATCACGAAAGTGTATGTGTGTGTGTGTGTGCGCGCACATGTGTGAGCTACTGGCAACTAGTGGGTAGAGGCCAGGGATGATGTTAAACATCCTATAATGCACAGAGCAACTCCCACAACCAAGAATTCTCCAGCCCAAATGCCAGTGGCACCAAGGTTAAGAAACCTTGGCCGAAAAGTATTTTAAATTACATGCTAGCCAAGTGACTTACTTTACTTTCCAAAATTTCTCCAAAAAAGCCACGTTATCCTGTGGTTTCTTGTCCCCCTCGAACATTACAATTTACAAAGTCCCATGTGAGAATCTGTAACCTCAGAATATGCGCCAGTGACATTTCATGGGGTTTTCTGATGTCCTAATGCATTAATGGCAGGAGTCTTTCTGTCACCTACCTTCTCTGATCGGAGGGTGAACAAGAGGTAGAGTTTTCCTTCTTTAGCCAACAATGGTAAAAGGATGGAACATTTTTTAGATGACAAGTGAGAATACTTGGTCCCCACATCGTGCTTTTTTAAGCGGGCCTTAGCGTCAGTTAGCAAATTGTCTCTAAAATGGAAACAAATCAAACAGTTGAGTCACCAGAGTTAGGATAAAAAGCTCCTAATCCCAAAGATGTTTCTGCTTTTTGTATGTCCTGGCATTTACTATTTTTGAGTCTTGGTGCGCTTTCTAATAATACGGTGGGAATAATAATACCCAAATCACGTGACTGGTGGCAAGCTAAAATGAGGCCAAAAACTGCTAAGAACACAGTTCAGTACCTGAGTTTCTTTAAAACCTTAATTAATTTTAAATGATGGGAAAATATTCTTTCAACAGTGCAATAGTTAAATGTTGAAATCAATGATAATATTCAGGAAGACAAGTTTGCTAAACAAGTCACTGTAAAGTTAGACCATCGTAAGGTTAAAGACTTTCTCTTAGCCTGGCCCTATGTCACATTATCAAACCCTTGTCTTCAAATCCCTTATCACAGTGGTTCCCAAACTTAAGCAGCAAATAGAATCACCCAGAGGGCTTGTTCTAACCCAGACTGCTGGGTCCACGTTTGACTTAGTAAAATGCAAGTATTTAGACTTACAACCATAAATGGTGCCCTGAATCCATAACTGTGGGTTTGTTTAGGTCCCTCTGACAGGTGTATTTTATTGTTGGTTTGTGAGGTGGGTTAAATAGTGTTGACCCCCCCCCCCAAATTCATGTCCACCTAACACCTGAGAATGTGACTTTATTTGGAAATTTGGAAATAGGATCCTTGCAGATGCAATTAGTGAGGGATTTGAGATGAAATCATCCTGGATTTAGGGCCCACCCTAAATAAGGACTAGTGTCCTTATAAGAAAAGGAGAAGACAGAGAGAGACACAGATACAGGTTCTGCCAAGAACACTAGAAGCCACCAGAAGCTGCAAGAGGCAAGGAGGGCTCCTCCCCTCAAGCCTTCATAGGAAGAATGGCCCTGCTGACTCCTTAATTTTGAACGTCTAGACTTTGAACTGTGGGAGAACTCATCTCTGTTGCTAAGCCATCAGTTTGGGGTACTTTATTATCACCCTAGGAGGAAGCTCTAAAACTTAAGAATTTGATTTTAACTTTTCTATGGTTAAGGTACTTCTGCATCATGGGCAAGGTCAGGTGTTTAAGTTAGCCAGAACTGGTTTCCAAGTGGTAGGGATGACCTCTGTAAGCCCCCTTTCCTCATCTGTGACATGTTGAAGATACTTGTGAGGCTTACATGACATGGTTCATATTCTGTGGCTGACACTCAGACAGTGCCCAGCGAATTACCATTACATGTTATCATAAATGTCTCGGTTATTAGATACGCAGTTGTCTGCCAAAGACGTTTGTGACTTTTTGCCTCTTTCTGCAAGGCAGGTTGCTCAATTATGTGGTTGGGTAACAGCAGTGGTTTTCAAAAACGACTGGCCTAAGGCTCACAGAATGCTGGCACTGGAGGGGACTCCAGAGAAAATCCCATGCGCACAGGCCCGCATCAGGAAAAAGAAACTGGCCCTACACAGAGTGCGAGGGACTATTTAACAGTGTGGCTTTTAAGAGGCACCGAGAACTGACTACAGGGACCAGCAGAAGCAAAAGTCTGCAAAACGTGTCTGTCCATATCAGGGGCTGGTCCTTGGAGTAATCACCATAAAAACACCAGCAGTAGCAGCCACCCCATAGGCACGGGTTCATCCCTCCATATTTTTTCTCACTGACTCCTAACAATAGCCCGGCCAGGTGAGAACACGTCCAGGCTCAGAGAGGTTACGTAACTGAGAGGCCCAAGTTCACGACTGGAAGTAATCCAGGGCTGCCTGGTGCGAGCTCACGGTCTCTGAGGTCGGACTGAGGACAGGGAGGGAAGCCGGCTCCGCAGTAGAAACGCTTCGCCTTTGGGGAAGAGGTATGCACCCATCAGGCCAAACTCGTCTCTGTCTTTGCGGGAGAAGGTGCGAAGGCCTTAGGACCCTGAGAGCGGCCGAGGAGGTGAGTGTCCCGAGCGCTGGCTCGGAGGGTGGCAGGCGGGCTCCGAAAAACGGTCCCAGCCAATGCCCCGGGCACCCACGGCCCGCGCGATTTGGTCAGCCTCGCCGTGATCAAGGCCGGGCCAGGCCGGGCTTGGGGTGCCAGGGTCGGGGAGGCTTTACCTGACTGGCTCCTGGGGAGGGCAGTGTGGCGACATCTTCCACAGCAAAGTTTGTTTCCGGCCACTGACCCCTCCCAGGGGCTTGGCCGGACGGGCATGCGCAGAGTAGCTCTGGGCCAGCTGCGCGGGGAGAGGCGGGGCCTAAGGACCGAGGCAGGGCAGGACCTGTGGCTGGAATGGAGGCGGGGCCTAGAGCCACAGGGGGAGGGTAGGGCGGGGCGAGATATGAGGGCGGGGCTGGCGAGGCTTAAGGCCACGCCTTCCAGGTCCCGCAAAGCTGCTCACTTCCTCAACTGCAAAAGGCAAATGAGGCATTCGCAAGTTGATAGTGGTTAAAGAAGGGACGAAAAGGTGAAAACCCAGTGCTGCTGAGTTGAGAGGATTCTGACACGGGCACTCAATGTTGCTAGGAGGTCAGATTGGTTTAACTTCTGAACAGCAGTCAACACATGTTTATCAAGCGCCAACTTTGTGTGGAATGCAGAGCCCGCAAGGCGCGAAAAGACAACGCGGGGGTTACAGTCAAATGGGAGAGAGAGACATGAATCAAGAAATTACCTAGATAAAGCAGAAGCCCTTAGTCCCTGAAGAGCATATGAGGGCGAAACGTGACAGAATCAGATCAGAGAAGGCTTAACGAGAGAGAACGGAGCTGACCTCGAAAGCCGCTGTTCTCCCAAGTGTGATCCTCGGACCAGCCGCAACTGCACCACCTGGGTGCTGTTAAAAATGCCGATTAATGGGTACCACGCCAGAGCTACTGGATCAGAAACCGGGGGTAGGGTCCAGCGATCTGTGCTGTAAGGGGATTCTGATGCTCTGAGAGAGAGAAGGGCAGGGAGAGAGTTCCAGGAAGAAGGACAAGTCTGTGCAAAGACCCCAGAAGTAGCTGGAGAAGACTGAGTGAGAGGGAGCCTGGTTCGGGCTGACACACAAAAGGTCAGACTTCAGAGACTGAAGGCCAGGCTGACTTCTCCATCCTGCACCGGACGTGCAATGCCTGGGCCTTCAGTAATTCCAGGACCCTATGAAAAATTTTAAATTTTAATTTGTTTTGAAAGAATAAAATAAATATAATAATCAGCAGTATATAATAATGAATCCAGCCTGGGTTATATTCATCTTTATAGCAATGCAGTCGTAAGATAATTTTATTATTTATAAATGTTTAATAAGTTTTATTATTTATATAAATTTATAAATAATTCATGTAAATTAAAATACCAATGCAGCCATAAAGTATTTTATTTATAAGTTATAAATAATTTATATAAATGAAATAATAAAATTATTTATACTAATTTTATTATTTTATGGAGGAAGTGGTCCATAAACCAAAATTACCTAGCACCCGTGAAAATCACAGTGTGGCCCTGGGTCATTGAGTAGTTGGGCCAAGATTTCCCAAGACCTCTAAAACCCTTGGGTTCAGGTGTTCACCTGACCAGTCTGCCAAGGCTGGAAGAGCCCAAACCAAAAGCTTAATGACATCCTAGTAATAGTGATGATAGCCTTTCACTCACATTAATGTACTTAATCCTCTGAACATCCCCGTGAAGTAGGGTTATTTCCATGGAGGTATTAATGTCCTCATTTCCAGATTAGGAAATAAAAAATGTCTTGCTTCGGGCCACACAGCTAGGGTTCAAGGTTAGATCGTTCTGACCTCTGAGCTCATTCTCTGAGCTCATTTATTTTGACAGTCTCTCAGAAGCAACTGGCATGTGAATTGTGTGGATCTGATCATGAATGAGAAGGAGCTAAATTAACCCCTCATCTAGTACCTCTTGCATAGGAACTATTTGCTGGGCGTGTCTAAGGTGCAGCCCCTTGACCTCTATGAACATGACTCTCAGCTCTAAGAATGTGCTTTCAGGTGTCTATCAGCAGGGAAGGGAGAGTGGTTCAGAGGATTGAGTTGGGGGCTGAAAATTATCGTCTTTTAAAAGTCTTCTCTTCTTTCAGATATCCTTTAATTGACTCCTCCTTTTGAAGAGGAGCAAACTGAGGCTCAGTGGGCGAGTGCCTTGCCCACAGTCACACAGCAGGTAGCTGGCACTCGGGGAGATTTTGAGGATAGGTGGGGTCTAAAGGGGCCAAAGTAAGGGAAATGGTATTCTTGGCAGGGGGAACAGCAGGAGCCACACTTGAGTGAAGAGTCTTATTCGGAGGGTCAGGCAGTGCAGATTGGCTGGAACATAGAGGGCATTTTGCAGAGTAGAGCCCTGGGGACAGAGGAAGAGGCTTTGGAAGCCACAGTGAGATAGCGGTTGACCTTCTTTTTAAAGGGAGAGGAAGAACAAATCTGGGTTATCAGGAAGATCTCTGTGGAATCAGGGTGGGAGATGGGTTGAAAGTGAGGAGAGACTGGAGGCAATTCCTAAAGTCTGGGCTTAGGGAACCGAAAGAAGGTGCTTCAAACCTTTCGAAAAATCCCCATCCGTATTCCTAATGTCAGAAAGTCAGAGTGTATCAGAGGTCTGAATCACTTTAGTGTTAAAAGGAGCATCCTGAGAGATGCTTTGCTGTATATTAAGGCTCTATGCACAACATCTGCTTTGGATCAGAAATACTACTGAGCTTTTATGGCTTTTGTAATGCTGGAAGCCTTAGCACAGGGAACATCACAAAGTAAAATGCAGCATAATGTGCAAAACAATACAGGATTCAAGGTTAATGGGCAATGCCTCTTCGGGGAAATGACTTGTGTCTAGCTTTTGCACACACTTATTGGTAGTGACATAATTCTGGAAAACGTATTGAAGAGAAGCAAAGCTATAAAAGGGTTCAGGCCAGCCTGCAAAGGCAATACCTCAATCTGCAGTTCTCTTGAAGAAGCACATCCAGGGACCAGGGTAGACCTTATCTGCAGTCCACCCACTTGGAAACTTTATTTGAGTAGCACCTTACGGCCAGGACTGGGTGATGCAAAGATAAAAAAAATGCCAATCAGCCTTTGGAGCAAAAGATGTCTGGGGAAAAGACCTACTACAGACAATTAGCTTTAATGCCAGATACGTGCTTTAATCTGGGGCTAAAGTGCTCCGAGGAGTGAGGAGCAGCAGGGAAGCAATTAATTCTGCTTGGGAGAAGGCAGTGGGGGCTAGGTAGGCTGTGGAGAGAAGATAAGATAATAAGGAACACTTCGCACTTAGCATTATTTTCCTAAGATAAAGCTCAGGAAGTGTTAGTTTCCTCCACTCCTTACTCAATCCGCAGAAGGTCTCTAAACTCTTGCAGGGGATTCTCAGGGGAGGGCTTTCAGATTAGTTCTCACATGTCCATCAGACAGTTACAATTGCTGGTTTGGGCATTTGAGAAGCAGACACTTCCCCCTCTGACCTCCATCAACTCCCCACCCTCCTGCCAGCAAATCAGAGTTAAGGAGGCAAAGCCCTCCCCCCCCCCATTTTTAGGAGAGGAAGTTGTCAATGTTCTTTGAGGATGTTTAAATAGAAATTCCTTTATGAATGGGTGAGGGGTCCTCAGCATCACAGCCATCTGGGGTGAGGATGCTGCGTGGACTTCCAAGTGCCCCAAATCCCACCCCACAGGTACTTATCTCAGGGTGGAAATTCACCCAGGAACATGCATTTCTGAGTACGCTGCTAGGTGGTTCTGTTGTAATGGTGAACACAGTAGTTTAAGGGCTCCAAAGGGAAACATTTGACGTTGAGAAGATAAGACCAACTCCTTCTAACGCTGGGTGAGGTAGCAGCCCCAGAGGGGAGGCAGATGGTGGCCACTAGAGCCGGGAGGCACCATTCCTGTTAGCACTGGAATAACCTTCCTTTCTGGGCTTGAAAGTTGGCAACTAAGGCAGGTCCATCTGAGGAGAGGCTCCAGGGAAGTTGAGTGGATTGTTTATTTGTATAAAGTTGGCTGGGATGAACAGATCCCTATCTAATGTGGTCCTTGTTTTTTGGTAAAAGACACATTAAAAAGGAAAGAGCTTGTGAATTTGGTTCAGCATATTTTCAAGGTTGAGTACCCATTCTTGGGCTAGATGTCCAGTTATATGCTGGAAACACGTGACAATTGGTCCCTGCTGTTGAGGGCTCTGATGTCAAATATGGCAGTGTGAGTAACTTTAGTCTGCATAAGAATCTCCTAATTAAACTTGTAGGTTCTTGGGCTGCAGCCTCATTTGCAATGTAAATGCACCTGTATTTGCAAGCAGACCCTTGGGTGATTGTGATATGTCTACACTTTGAAAGGGGGAGAAATGGAACTTGAATCCGAAAAAAAAAATAAAAGAGCCTAAGTCAGCCAGGCTCAGGAAGTCTAGATAAGTACTTGAGCCAAGAAGTCAGTGACCTGAAACAGCTTTTTGATTTTCTAGCAGCAGGTGTGGACTGGGAACTAAAAGTTAGGTAGAGATTATTGGGGGAAAAAATGCTTCTGGAACTGCCCTGGATTACAAAAATCTAAATTGCTGGGAGTTTACTTCCCACTGTGGCAAATGTGATTTTTCAAAGTAATTCATGGTGTTTTCTCATTTATGTTTAATTTTCATTGTGTAACAATAAAACAGATATATGCTTGTGTATTAAGATGCTGTAAATCTCTGAGTTTCCATAAGCCCAGCTTGCCAAAAATTGGCAAAAACTGATGGGCGCACATCTTTCACATATTTTATGTCCTTGTTGGGTCTCGTTCCCGTCCACCTTTAGAAATGAGATAAAGATTGGTTATGTTGATTCCTTTACTGTCATGTAATCTTTGTGTAATGGAACAATCAAGGAGGTTTAATTACCAGTAACAACTGTGCTGGGAAATTTGTAATCTAAATGAAGGCTCGGCCTCGTATGCATGGAATGGCGTGACTGTGCAGCACAAT